TCCATATATGTAGAAAATAAATTAATAATCAGGTTAGATTACAAGGATAACTCCCATAATACCCAGTCATATTGATTTTTTAATCCCTTTCTAACTTGGTCAATGTGTCTCTCTCACTAGAAGGTATGACCCATTTCTGCAAATATGAATCTCATTTCTGACACCTCTATATCCCTGACATCAAGCATCATGCATAGCACATAGATGGTAGTGTGTATTTTTTATACCTATAAATGAATGGATTTTAAGAATTGCATTTAGCAATAATTAAAGCACTTTTATCATTTTAATCTTTTTTCTCTCTGTTTTTCCTTGTTTTTCTTTTTGAGATAAGGTCTCCCTTTGTAGCCAGACTAGCTTGGAAGTTACCAAGTAGTCCAGGCTGGCATCAAACAGGATCTTTTTGCCTCAGTCTCCTGAGTGCTGGGGTTACAGGTATATGTTACCTCACTGTACTCTCATTTTCTGAACATTTAAAATGCAGTTCTATTTCCCATATTATTTGAATGTGAATCGACACAATTTCAGTGAAGTATGGCTAGAATCACAGTTAAGTATTATGTTATAATTAATTGCTTTAACAGAATGATTCTCTTGCTTCCTTAGTGAAGGATCACAGAGTTCAGTCCACAAGCTAATTCACTGTTTCCGAAGTCCTACAGAAAACGCATGTTTTCTGCTTGCCACGTGCCATTTTATAATCTCCACAAGATTCATAAGCAGAAGCTTTACAGGATTTGCCATTTGTTAATTCTATTCATTTAATTACTACATAATATGAGGAGGTCTACAAAATTATAAAGGATGATTTTTTTTTCAATGCATATAATTGAGAAGGGAAAAGAAGCCATGTACACAAATATCTAGATCACAATGCCTTCTGTGCTCTCCAATCACGCAAATGGAATGAATTTCACAGGATTTGTATTGATTTAATTAGGAAAGTTTTGTAGAATGACTAAAGTTGTAGTTGGCCTTCTTGGGTGGGTTGGATTTTCCTTGGTGGAAAGTTGATAGTATTCCATAACGAAGAAAAAGCATGCAAAATTGTGAACATATGATGCACTGGGGAGAAGGAGATCTTACTGGTTACTTGAACAGAGGGAAGAATTTATTTGTAAAGTAGAAGCAGATGATAGGCAGCTTTAATAGTTCGTGGTGAACCTTTGACAAGAAGCTATGCTCTCTGAAGCTTATCTGTAGACAGGGGAGAATCATGGAAAATGTTAGGGTGAGGAGTGGGAAGAGTTCCTGGGCTATTGTGTTTTTAGTTAATGAACTATTTAGTGGAATGCTGGCCATTCAAGTTGAGTTGGTAGAGATTTGAAAGACTCTACTACCATAGACAATATAGCAGGAAATTTGAAAATTAGTGAAATAGATATAGTAGAATAAAAAAAGGGAGAAAAGCTAAATCATGTAGACATACTACAATGAAATTCAAGATGAAAACAACAAATAAATGATGGTAAAACAGTATCCAAGGAAATACCTGAAAGCTTATGATGATTAAGTCATCCAGACTTTAGAATGTACTACCTTAAGGAAATGATCAGTTAGTCCTTGAAAGCAGAGGGCAAAGAGAAATATACAGAAAGTACCTGTGGAGCAGTCAGATCCTGTCCACTTGGGATCACAGCTGCAAACTCCAGTACCCAGAAGAAAAGTCCCATGTCCTGAGCACTGTTCTTGACATATAGGAAGTGGGGTTTCACAGTTGACTCCTCCCCAGCCACTAGAGCAGTGGCATTCTCCTTTTACACAGATGCCATGGCTGGAACACATTGGATCTAAGCAATCCTCTGAAGGCCCAAAAAAAGATGGGGAGAAGGAAGGTTGATAAAAACATATGTTGGATAATGGAACTGATCTATTCACATTGATTTCATGGTATTATATAATTAATGTTGCTTTAATTAGGCAACAAAATGACTCATGCAAACATTGTGTTTAAACCAGAAGAATATTAACATTTAAAAATATGGTGGGGTATTGTAAAGGTTGCAGTCTAAATTTGGAAGAAGAAAATCACACATATGCTGTGTACAATTGTGAACAGTGTTTGACACCCCCCACCCAAACAAGTGGGTGGACCTGTATGGACCCTCAGTAGGAATTTTTCAGCTTGGCAAAGTAACCCAAGAATTTTTGATAAGCCATTCTATATCTTTTCTGAAATCAGAATGAGGATTTTACTTTATATTTCTACAAGTTGTTATGCAATTTTTAATTTGAACGAATTTATTTGGTGAGGTGACTTTTGTTGCATGAAATAGTAAAATTTATTATAACCTTGCATTTATTCCCCCAGAAACACTGAAAATGCAACATTTTAAACCTAATTTCAGAATTCAGTTCTTTATGGCTTCTTCTATCAGGGTACGGTAATACAGTTTTTAACATCTTAGAATATCATAGACTTAATCCCATTAGTCTCTGATGTTGTGAATCTAGAAATTTTGCCTTAGGAAAATTGTTCTGTCCTTTTAGCTAAGTAACTGTTTTATGTGATAAGGGAAGGTTGGCTTTCAAATTCTCTGTCTTCCTATACAAAGGAGACTATAATCATTTATCCTAGTGAGGATTATTATGCTTTGAAATACTTTTGCAACAATGGAAAATATTGATACAACCTGCCTGCATTTGTAAGTTTGGCCTAGTTTTAGGGCGTGGCTTGTTACCATGACAAGGTCTAACTTAAGCACTATTATGATTAGTGTTAATTGCAATTATGATTAGTCCAGGATCTCAGGGTCATTAGAACAGTACTTTCATACCTGAGCCAATCATCAAATAAATACCTAAAGGTGTATCTAATTTGATTCATTATTTGGATAGAGAGGTAAAGTTCAAAAGACAGAATTTTTTTAGAGGGAGCCAATTTGCTTACGTCAAAGTACAAGCACAATAAAAAATGACATTTTACATTTGACTTATAACTGATTTTCTTAAGAGAGTTGCTACATTCAAGTCATTTAAGTCATGTTTGTTAGATCATAGACCCACCAGCCGCCTTCTCTTCTCTCTCAGAAATCAGGTCACACCCCTGCAGCTGACAGGCCCCTGCTGTGAGGGCTACAGCTAGCAGATCTTGGCAGGGCAGCTAAGGGAGAGGTAGGAAGCAAGTCCAGCACCATCTCCATTGTAACTGCAAGATATGCTTATGGCCTCCCTATCACCTGCCTTCTCTATGCTCCTTGTTTTGTAGGCTAGACCAGACTAAATTGCATGGTGTGGAACTTCCCACCAACCCCTGAAAAGGTGGAAAAATTAGAAATGCCCTTTGTTCAGAGGATTGTTCTGAAGACTCTCCTTTGCACTCCTCTATGCTGTACATGATGGCTATATTTCTTACTCTTCCACTTCAAGTTCTCCTTTATAATGTTTTCATGATGCCTCTCCCACCTCAAGGCTGGATCATGCTCTGTTACCCGATGGTGGTGAGGCACTCTCTCCTAATAAAGCTCATTTTGATGGATAATTGGTCTCAGTTTCCTTCTCCATAAACATACAACTCTTTGTTATAACAATGCTTACAACTTTTTGTTATAGTAATGGTTGTATCAGAGAAATCATACTTAAATCAGAGGAACAAAATCATAGGACTAAGGAAGACAGGCATGGTTGAAATGGCTGTTTTTGTTTTTTTTTTTTTTTAGACAAAATATTGTGTTTTGAGAAAGCTGAAAACATGTGTTATGTCTAAAGGGAATTGTGGCTCCAGGTGATGTAAACCCAGCGTCACTAGGCTTTCTAGTACTAAATAAAAAGAGGCCATAAAGAAGGATTTTTCTATTATATTTGTAAAGCTCATGCCATTAAAACATGGAGGGCATTCTTGCTATTTTAGCTGTTTTACATAGTTTCTTAATAACCAAGTAAAAAGCTAATTTAAGTCAAATACTTTTTCGGTTTCTTATGAAACTTGAATGGGAAGAATCTAAATGATTTAGGTTATATGGTTTTCATGGTGCATGTTGTGAGAGACATCAGTTTTTGAAAACTGTGTGAGGGTCCATACAGCATCTGAGTTTATACTCACATATAATGACTGCAGTTTGATTCTCATAAAGTATTTCTAAAAATACCTTAAGAACTTCAGTGCCTTGTAAAGACTGAATGGAATTCACTGGAACCAAAACAATCTTCACAACAAAATTCTACTGCTGCTAATGGGAGGTAGAAAGCTAAAGTCTTGTTTGTTCATGGAATGGAATGAGATTAAACCCTTTAGAATGCTGTGTAATAGTTTTAATGAGCCACCTTTAAAAAGCAATTATAGTGCATTTTCAGCAGCCTCTTTCCTGAACAACAGTTGTGATGAGACCATCTCCCATGGTAATTGTTTAATATTATTTCTGAAATCAGTCTTATTTGAGGAATGTGGCATGAAAATGGTCTGATTACTAGTAAACTTATTATCCAATATGTCTGTTGAAATGATAAAACTTTTGCCATTTCAAAATATTCTTTTAAAAGACTCCTTTGGGGTGAATTTAATATAAAGGCACTGCTTTGAAACTCATTAGTGGTAAGCCTGCTTTTTTTAGGCAGTGAGGTCAAGTTTCAACATGAGGCATGTAAGAATAAGTAATATGAGCAATAATAATAATGGTAATTACAAAGAAAACATTTGCAAAACTTCTCTAAATGTGTATATACCATTATTTTATTGCGTTCTTTAAATGCAATGCTTTATTATGTAGTATAACAAACTGTAATAATGAAAGCATATGAATTAACAGCTAAAATCTTCAATATGGAAATTGTCAGGTTATAAAAACATTAGAAATGAGGAGAAATAATTTTTCACTGCTGCTCTGCAGGTGTCGCAGACACAGTCTCATGTATCATAACATCAGAGACTGTCAGAAGAGACATGAGTTTCCCCAATCTCAAACTTTTGTCCTGTGTGTCAAGGACATGTTGAACATTTATTGTTTGCAAAGACTGCTTGCATCTCTACTAGTATCACAGAATGAAACTTTGGACAATTCAGTGATCGAAAAACCTGAAGCAATATATTAAAATGGGGCTCTGACCTTCCTCACATATTTCTCCTTTGTATCCTGGAACACAGATGCAGACTCCCATGATGCAGGTGCCATGGCCAAAGCAGGTTGGGTCAATGCATTGTTCTTCCGGAACATCACACTCAGGGCCCTTCCAGCCATTTCGGCAGACGCAGTGGCCTTTCTCATACTCTCCATTTCCACCACACAGAACAGGGCATGAATCTGAAGGTTAGCAAATGAACTTGTAAGGTTCTTATAATTCTTTCAAAAATCTCCAAATAATAATTCTATATTGATTCTGGTGTATCATTTCAAGCAAAAAATACTACTTTTGTCTTTTAATTAAATAGGCCCATGTTTATGCTTGCAAACAGAATTTTCCTTTTATAAAAGGGGTAAATATATTTTATAAAGATCCCCCAAGTACAGGATAAATATTTGATTTTGGTCTTGTCATACTCTGAAACTATTGTAACTATTAATATTTTAAGCTAGGAATTTTGTCTAGATCTTCCTGCTTCTACCTCCAAATGTCTGCAAGGGTGACTGGCACATTTAAGCTTTTAAATTTTGTCTTAGAAGCAAAGCATGATTTTTTAAAAAAACTTATAAACAATTATTCATATTATTAAAAGTTATTTTTTAAAGACTGAATAATTAGCACACAACTGTCTACTTCTATTAACACTTGGGTACTTTTATTAGAATATTATTCTGTTTTGTCATTGTGTGTCTCCCTATTAAGTCAATGGTTTTTTTTTTTTTTTTTAAGACAGTGCCTGTGCTGGATAGCTTCAGCTGTCAACTTGAAAGATCTGGGAAGAGGGAATGTCAATTGGAGAATTTTCTCTGTCTGCTTGGCCTATGGGCATTCTATGTGAAACATTTTCTTGACTGTTGAATCATGTGGGAAGGCCCAGCCCGCTGTGAATGCTGCCACCCCTGAACATGTGGTCTTGAATTGCATAAGAAAGTATCTTCAACAACGGTCTGGCAAAAGTGAATCTCCACCTGCAGAAAAATGAAACATGAACCTTATCTTTCATCCTGCACAAAAGTCAACTACAAATGGATCAAAGACCTCAATATAAAACCTGAAACTCAGAAATTTCTAAAAGAACACATAAGCAGCACCCCCCAAGATGTAGGGTTAGGAAATGACTTTCTAAATTAGACACCAGCTGCTTAGGCACTAAGGTCAACAATGAGTAAGTGGGACCTCATTAAATTATAAAGTTTCTGTACAGCAAAAGAAACAACTAAGGAAGGGAAAAGGAAACCCACTGAGTGGAGAAAATATTCAACAGATGCACATCCAATAGAGGATTAATATCCAGAATATAAAAAGAACTCAAAGAGAAAGAAATAAGAAAATAAATGACAGAATAAAAAGATGGGTGATGGACCTAAACAGAGAGTTCTCAAACAAAGAAATAAAAATGGCTAAGAAGCACCTTAAAAAGTGCTCAACATCCTTAGTAATTAAAGAAATGCAGATAAAAACCACTTTAAGATTCTATCTTACCCAAGTCAGATTGACAAAGATTAAGAGAACCAAAGACTCCAAATGCTGGAGAGGATGTGGAGAAAGGGGAACGCTCATTCATTGCTGGTGGGAATGAAAACTCGTACAACCACTATGGAAAACAGTGTGGGGAACCCCCAAAAAACTTTAAATGAGCCTACCATATAATACAGTGATACAACTCCTTGGCATGTACCCAAAGGACTCATCATACTGTAGAGATACCTGTACATCCATGTTTGTTCCTGCTGTCTTCACAATAGCTAAAAAATGGAAACAACCTAAATGTCCTTCAACTGCCAAATGGTTAGTGAAAATGTGGTACATCTACTCAATGGAGTTCTACTCAGCAGTAAAAAACGATGAAATCATGAAATTTGCAGGTAAGTGGCTAGAGCTAGAGAGTGTTATACTAAGTGAAGTAACACAAATGCAGAAAAGCAAGCAACGTATGCTCTCCCTCATTTGTGGATCGCAGCACCCATCCTTTATATGTGAGTATATACATTCTGATGTAATACCAGGTGCCAGGTAGAGGGAAAGGATACATGGACGTAAAGGAAAAGAAACTACATGAAATGGGGGTAGTAGGGAACAGATGTTATCTGAAGGAGGTGGAAAAAGTGGGAGTAATCGGCAGGGAGGAGAGGAGGGAGGGACATGCAAGGAACCATGGTAGGGGAGGGAGGAAAGTCAGGAAAGGAAAGACAACGGGAGTCTGGAGTATAGGAAAGAGGGTGGGGATAACGGGGGCACTGTGACTAAGGAGTGAGGGAGGGAGGAGGGAAGCTGGATGGGAGGAAAAAGAGTAGAGATGAGTGAATCTCGGGGGGGGGGCTAGGAAACCTAGAGGGAAAAGCAGTGCCCTAGAAACCCTATGAGAAATGCATATAGAGTATCTGAACATTAATGCATATGTATACCTGGGAGCTGCTTGGCAGGGAACGCAGTGCCAGATAGAAGAGACCTCCTTTAGAATGACAAGCATGCTGTACACAAAGAAGCTTCTCTTTACAACAGATGGAGGCTACTGCAGAGTTGCACAACTGGTCAGGCACAGAGAACATATGCTTAGGAGATGCCCCGTACTAGCTGACACACCTGTAGTCAAATCTCTACAACTAAGGCTCATGGAACATAGTGGAATAAGTGTTAGAGAGAGGGATAAAGCACCCCTCAACTCTCACCAGTGAGACTTCCATGTATATCAGTGTTCGATGCACACAGGAGGCCACAACTGGCCACATTTTGGAGAATAAGAGACTGTAGAGTGTAGGACAGGACTCCTATATGGAACCTCACCCACCCAAGGCTCAGGGACCATTGCAGAGGAGGAGGCAGAAAGATTGTAAGATCCAGGGCTGGTTCATGAACATAAGGAGGTGGAGTCTTCCAGGCCACTGGAGGCTTGCTCATGTGAACCTGCAGTGGCAGTGGCGTCAAATGTGGGACCCATGTCAGCTCAATTAAACAAAGGCCCATAGGGGAGGTGAGAGATAGGTGGTGGACCTGCACTAGATTGAGAACTATTTGAGACTGATTGCTGCTGGGCGAGGGAGAGTATGACTTACATACAACCACTGGCTGAGCTGACTAGACTCCAGTGGACCCATTTACACTGAAGGACATTTGGATCCAAATACCTGAATGAATTAGGACTCACCATTTACGGCAGAGTGCATTGGGTTCAGTGGGGGGATGAGGGGGAGCTATGGAGGGGATCGGGGGTCTGGATTTGAGTGGGAAATGTATAAAATTTAAAGAGCTCAATTAAAGAAGGAAGTAGATTGAGCACAGGTCAGACAAGCAAGCCAGTAAGTGCATTCCTCTGTGGTCTGTACTTCAGCTCCTGCCTCCAGGTTCCTTCCATGAGGTCTTGTCTTGGTTCCCCTTAGTGATGGGCTGTCATTTGGAAGAGTAAGATGAGATAAACCCTTTCCCCACCCAAAGGTAGTTTTGGTCCATGTTTTGTCACAGCAATAGAAAGCTAACTGGAACAGAAATTGGTACGTGGATCATGGTACATTATGATAAACATGACCATGTTGGTTTTGGGAGGATTGTGGAAGAATTTGGAATTTAGAAAGCATGTTGAGTGCTTAATTAGCTGCTATGGAAGCTTGGAAGATAATGCTGAAAGAATAGATGATAGAGGCATGGCTCATGAAGTTTCAGAGGGAAGTATAAAAGTCCCTCAATGGCTCTATCTGAATCCTATACTTTGCAGTATGAATTTTTGGAAGTGAAACATTTTGTGCTTTACTGGGACAATCAATACTGGTCAGCTGGGACTGAAAAATCAGCTGTGATTAACGAAACCAGAATCACTGAGGTGAAATCAGGGAAATATTCTGTTAGGGCCAGCACAAAGAAGCTTTGATCCGGAGGTGGCCAAGGCTGCATCTTAAACTAGAAGCCTATCTTAGTAATAACGTGAGTCTCCCAGGTGATAGTGGTTGTGACAGAATTGAAGGGGTCATGACAAGAATCCGAGGCTTTACACTGTGATAGTTGAGGAGATGTCATTGGTGAAGGTGCAGTCTCAGTTGCAATGAAGACCTGCAGGAATGAAGGCTCAAGGAGAGAGTCTAAGGCTTGGCACCATATGAGGCCAGGACATTGGTAAAGGTGCAGCATCACTTACAGTGGAGATCCTACCACACTGGAGACAACAGGACTCTGGTGTGGAGTCGAGATGGTCTAGGACAGCAACAAGTGTGTGAAGTAGAGCTGGCCTAAGTCTAATGGACTAGCTATGTGTGCTGGGAAAGGTGCAGCCACAGATGGGGAGTTACTCAAGCCTTTTGGAGTCTAGAACACCATCAGTGAACCTCATCCCAGACACCGAGCTATTAACACTGTTCAATTTTGGTTTTGGTTTGATCTGATCATGCCCTAGTTCTTCCCTTTGGAGTAAACAACATTTAACTTGCTTCTTATTTTATGGTAGCCCACAGTTAAGATACTTGGAATTTTAAAAGAGGCATTGGACTTTTAAAGAATCAATTTTTGAAGACTGTGGAACTTTAAAAGTTGTATTATGTTTTGTATTGTGTTGTTAATATTAACATGGCATCTTGTGGAAAAAAAGTAGAAAAGTTATGGTTTAATACTGACATGTTTATATATCAAGTTGAAGAGGGATCAATTGTGTTATACAACTCTAGTTGTCAACTTCACAATTCTGGGCCACTGTAGGAGGTGCCACACCTGGGCCATGTGGTCCTGGATTGTATAAGAAAGCAGATCGAGCTCTAGCCAAGGTTGCAAGGCAGTAAGCAGTACTCACTGGTCTCTGACTCAGCTTCTGCCTGTAGGTTTCTGCCATGAGTTTCTGCCCTGGCTTCCCTCGATGATGAACTGTGATGGGGATGGGTAAGCCAAATAAACCCTTTCCTCCCCAAGTTGCTTTTGATCAGTATTTTGTCACAACAATAGAAAGTAACTAAAACAGAGCCCATATCCTTTGTTTTATGCATTTTTTTTTAAAAATCAAACCCTTCTTCACATCTCCACAAGATCTGTTATGATGCTGGGAACCTAGTAACTGCTTTAGATTCTCCGTTGAATGGAATTTATTCTAAATGAACAAACTTTCCACAAAATCTGAGATTAGTTTAGCAAACTTAAAACTTTAAGACTATACTGAAGATGAACAGAAAGCATCTCCAAAACAATAACTACAATTTCATAGGAAAGCATGGTCTGATTTACCTAAAACTTTTCCAGAATTAATTAAACTATGCCCAAGTGCATATCACATCCTCTTTAACCTTTGACTTTCCATTCTTTACTCTCTAAGCTACATGTCTGTTTTACAATTCACCACTACTTCCAGGTATAAAAGTATTTGTAAACATTAATTTTGTCTCTTTTTAATGTCAGACTGTTATGAATTAATTTATAAAAGAATTATAAGCATTATATAATCATTGGAAAAGATAATCTGAGTTTAAATCTCAGGTGGTACTTAACGTTGGATAGTTTCTTAATCACTCTGGGTTCTTTCTTTACTCATAAAATTGAGATAATAGTAGAGCAACTTCATTAGGGCTATAATAGGAAGGAGAAATTAAAAGAGGTTTTGCAGGGCTGGAGAGGTGGCTCAGTGTTTAAGATTACTAGCTGCTCTTGCGGAGGACCTGGGTTTGAGTCCCAGCACCCACATAACAACTAACAACCATCTGTAACTCCAGTTCCAGGGGCTCCAACACCTTCTTCTGACCTTCATGCACATTGCACAACACAGGTGCACTTACACACATGAAGGCAGTACACTCATACACGTAAAATAAAAATGAATGCTGAAAATAAAGATGTGATGCAAAGTGTTTAGAATAAGGTTGGCATACTAAGTGGTCACATTTTGGTGATACTGTTGGGGGGCAGTGCTGGTGTTGTTGTTACTACTACTATTGTTACTATCACTATTATTACTAGTAATGTTGAGATTGCCAATGACATTACTTCGTCTTAAGCAATCACAGTCATAGAGCAACATTACCTCTAGCACAGTCCGGTCCAAGGAATCCTGGGAAACAATGACAGTGACCAGATATACACTCTCCATTTCCATTGCAATTGGTTGAACAGTCATCCATTATTTCTTTTCATACAAAGGGAAAAGAAAAAAAAATGAACACATATTCAGGCTGAAGACATAATGTTTTTAAAGTTTCAGAAATTCTGGACCTGTAACAGTTTTGACCTCTGCTGTCAACAAAACATTTACTGCTCAAAATTAGATGCAATGCCAAAGATTTCTACATGATGTCATATTCAGTAGGTTATTTTAAAATGCTCTTAAATTACTGATTTGGCTGTTTAAGAGAAGAACAAAAACTAATTCATCTCTAAAGTTCATGAAGGGTCTAGATAAATTATATTCTTAAAAGACAATCATGGTAAAGCTTAAAAGGTACGAAAATTATAAGACATTTCTCAAAAGCAAAACATGCTTCAAAATGCAACACAGAAGAGAAGCACTACTCTTTATTTTTCAAACTTAGGTTATAGCAAAGGAATTTCCTCTCTTAGAATTTAGAACATTTAATATACTATCTTGACAGGTTAAATATGATAATCAGTATTTCATTTTCATTAATAAGTGACAATGGAAGGCTTTTAAAGTAAGTGTTCATAAAAAATAAAGTAAGTGTTCATATTAAATTCACCACCACTTAGATCATTTGAACCTAAGTATTTTTTTGAGAAATGCTTTCTTGGCTATAAATGCTTATCAGTTCTCTGCCACTGACTGCCTTTCAATCCATTCCTACCAAATAGTTTTCATAGGAATTGAGAAGATTTTGAAGGCACCTATTGGTAATTATGTGACATAAAGATGTGCAGAAAAAAACTTGATAAATATTATATTTTCTCTGAAAAAAGTTTCACAAATGTCAGTCTTTGAAAATGTCTATAATTTTTACAGTATACAATTGTATTTGAGTATATTAATGACCAAATTAGAGGTCTATGAACTATTATGTTCTCTATGATTTGTTCTTGCTGCTGTTGCTGCTGCTGGTGGTGTGGTGTGTGTGTGTGTGTGTGTGTGTGTGTGTGTGTGCATGTGTGTTACGCTCTTCCATTACTCTTTCTTATACGTTTTCCATACCCAGCATTCTTGACCCCAGAGTGTCTTTTCTTCTGGCCTATTGAACTCATACTTCATTTATATGCTGATTCTTCTTTAATTAAAATTTTTCTTTACTTGGAAAAGCTACTCCAATCAGGAGAGATTCTAAGAGGTACTCACAGTATCATCCCTTGAATAATGAGAATTACAATGACCTTTGAGAAATGGCATTTCTACAACTGTGGCCTATAAACCTCGTTCATAGGTAGGATCATTATGGAACACCTCTAATATAAATACCTGGCTTCAGCTTTGACTCTCCTGAACCTGTCTCAAAGGGTTATAGGCCCACAATCTACAATCAAATAAGCGATCCAAGCGAATCTGTAGGTACTCCCAAATTAGAGCATTGAGAGAAAATACTTCAGTCTACTTAATAATTAGAAAGCTAGTGGTCTGCATTTTGGAGTTTTGCCTTGGGAAGAATAAAGGGATGAGAAACAAAATGGTATTCAATCTATTTTGGAGGATTCTTAAAAAATTGGGTATAGATTTTGTAGATGCAGCGGTCAGATTGCATGGATAAATACCCTATTGTGAACGAGTGGAGGTAACTCTCATCACCATGTGAACATACCAGATTGACTTTTGCAGGTTTATGCAATCACCTGTCTGACCACTGTGTTAGAGTACTGAACCTGACAAACAAGTGACAACATTAACAAGCCAGAATGTAGTGGTCAGGAAAGCCAATCCTGCTAACTCATTAAACCATCAATTAACACCAGGAAATCATTAATTTATTTAAAAAGTAATTGTGAAATCGTTTAAAGCATATTTTAAAGTCACATATGAAACAATTATTTCTCTATTTTCTGCTTATCTAGATATCTTGTACCAAGATATCTTAAATCTAAATTTTGATCCTCTTTACCATGGATGGTTAATAATAGGCCATGGAGGAAGCCTTCAAAAATAAATATAGTTGAATTTAATTTCACATCAGATCCTATTGACAATTTTATGGAATCAGCCATGTGGGAATGTAGTTATTTTGAAAAATAAAAGTTTAATAAAGTTCGCTATCAAAAATAAATAAAAATAGCTACATCTTATTGACTTTTCTATGAGCTATCTCTGGTTTCCCACTGCTACATAGAGCTTAATTCCAGCAATGCGATTGAGAACCAAGGGGCTGAAAGGAAGTTTTAGCAACTGCCACCTTCACTGACTAATATTGGGGCAGTCTAAAGAAATGAAGAGAAAGATGGCTGTATCAGAAAAACAAACAGCTATCAACAAAAAGTAAATATTTTGTATTTCTGTTGAACTACAGTAAGCTTTGCCCTATATCTTTTAAATCTTATTTTAGAATCACTTCTCGGGTCCCAGTTCATCATGGTTAGGATGAAGTTTGAAGTTATATATTTAAAACTCTCTTCACGCACTACAGTAGAAAGCGCCTTAGTTTCTCCATCTGTACTGATGGTAGGTTTTGCTTCAGGTAATTTCTCTCATGGGAAAAAGAAAGTGTAAATAATCTTAAGGGATGTATAAACTAAAGGGCATAGGATTTGGAATCAGGCCGACTGCCTTTCAAATGTCAAGTTTGCCATTTGCTCTTTGAAAGACTTGTCAAATTATTTCCTCTTTTTAAGTTTCTGCTTATTTGTAACGTGAGTATCACTGTACATCAGCAATCAGAGTTCTGATGAGAATCCAATCAACTAACAATGCAAAGCATCCAGCGCGACACTTGGAGTAGAATAGTACTCTAGATGTGGCATCAGTTACCATTATATGAAAGCTGTCTGAGATTTGTGATATTGATAATTCAGTGTATACTGCTGGGAAAGAATACATATTAATATTAAACAGTCAATATTTAAAAAGATTATTTATAACTTTTGTCTTGATCCTCAGTAGTGGGACCATATATATTTAGGATCAACTGATTCTAACATTATGAAGTAGATGAATGAGCAGCATTTCAGGAAAAGCCACATAATCTTTACGTTGTTTATTGAACCATGTTAGCCCTCTTTCACTGTAATTAAGACAAGGTGTAATAATATAAAATATAATGGGGAGAATTTAGGGTAAATTACTCAAACACTTTTGATTATTTTGGGAAATATACTTGAACTTTCTTCAGTGGAACACTAAATATTTCTGTTGCTTCTAATCTTAAACACAATATGAAATTAAATACACCAACTTGCATATGCAAAAGACAAATATGTTGTTGACATGAAACTGATGGCTTGATTATCTGGATGGTGGGAGTGGATCTCATAGGTTAAGTTCTTTTTGGGATAAAGTAAGGTAAAGGGAGAAAACCATAAGCATATTTCTTTATGTACAAGGTTTTGAAAGGTCAGTAGCTTAGTTAGTATTTTTAAGTTGAGCTAAGGGATTAAAATAAAAGGAATAAAGAAAACTCTTCACAAATGTTTTATATCTTCTAATTTCAGGAAGGTATTTCAATCAGTCATAATTTAATGACACTCATATTACAAAATTGGGTTTTGAAATTTTCATTCCAATAGATTCTATGGATACACTCCAAGTGATGAAACAATGACAGCAATGAAAAAATATCATTTTTCTAATTTAACAAAAATATTTTGTATTTGAACATGTGTATATCAATGGAATTTGCATCAGCATGATTTTTATTGCTTTTATGATTATTTTAGAGGAAAATGTGAATAGTCTTATGGATAGAATACCACTTTGTATTCACTCAAGTTCTTCAGCATCAAGTAGAAATAGAACATTATTGTTCTAAGGAACAGATGGCATATTTATTAACAGCCAACACATCTTCCTAAACATGTGGCTGAGCAGGTTAACCAAAGGATAAAAGTGGGAAGACTTGTATAGAAAACTGACAGCTTTAAAAGCTTTTCCCTTCTCTTAAAATACATGTGTTTTAGGACATTTCAAACAATATAATGCCAAATATATGTTGTTTACTCTGATGACTCTCAAATTGCTAAGGAGCTCAGCTTTATTCACAAAAAGGTCATGGGAAATTTTTTTCACCAAAAATGACAAAAGACTGAGCTGTCTCAGACTAAGGAGGGTGACAGTAAATAAGAGTGTGTGCAGGCATTATGTTTAGAAAGAATACATTTTAAAATGCCTAGGGCAAAATGAAAGCCATTTGATTATTAGACTAAACTAATTCTGCAAGAAAGGACATGAAATGACTCAAGGTATTATCTTCTGTATTATGTTCTAATATTCTTATACTGTATTTGGAAGCCTTAATGGTTTTAGAATCAATTGTTCTAAAAAAAGTATTGATGCCAGTTTTTCAATTTTAAGAGGTATTCATTAGCTTTTCTTTTATAATCAAACTTGAATTAATAGAGTCTCCTTTCTGTCCTTCTTTCTTACTATGGATTGAGGTATCTTACATATTAGGTAATTTCTCTATCACTGATCCTGACAATTTAAAAAAATATTTTTAGCAGGGTCTCTCAAATTTGCCTATGCTAGATTTGCACTCCCTCTGTAGTTCTTGTTGGCCTTGAACTCACAGACCTACATGATATGTCTCCTGAGGGCTGGGATTGCAGATGTGAGCCACTAGGCTTGGCTTAACAGTTCTTTCCTTGCTTATTATCTTTTTACTCTGACGTTGTTCATCTACATAGATTTGTTAACAATTTAGCAAGGGAATTTTTCTTGAGAACCTATAAAGAACTGCATGATAAGTGACCTGGAATATCAGCAAATACTGGAGAATTTAAAAATATCTTAACCCGCATTTAAAGAACAATGAGAACAGCAATACAACTTTTACTCATAGTGGCATATACTGAATAATGACTTTAAGGTAGAATGAAAATATGTCAGAGAAATATGTTACTTTCTCCACTTCTATCTTTCTAGAGCTATGCTTTGAATTTAAATGGTACTCAACAGAACTTACCAATTGCTGTTGTTAACACAAATACTTGCTCCATCTTTTTGCCGTCATTGTAAAATGCCAGATACCAAGGTCCTTGGTCCATATACTCTATGAAACCTGTCTCCTGAAGTGAGGTTAAGATCAGGTTCCGAGGGGAGTGCTGGTTGTCATCAAAGTTCTTGGAATCCTGTTTTACAAGCTGTTTGCCATCCATTAATTTCACAAAATCAAACTGGAACAAATACAAATACAAATATGAACTTGATCTGCCTTTACTTTTTGACTTAAAACCATTTTTAACTACAACTGACTTATTCAAAACTTCTGTGCTTTGGTGGTGGGTGAAGTGGAAGAGAAAGCTATTAATTCTCAAGTATATATGGAATCAAAAGTATTAATTAATTCTGAAATGCATCCTCACTATATTTATAAATATTAGGAATATCTCAGTTTGGGAGTGTTCAAAATACTTGTTTTAAGACAAAACCATGGGAGGACTGGAGAGATGATGGTTCAGAGGTTAAGAGTCCTGGCTGCTCTTGCAGGAGACCTGGGTTTGAGTCCCAGCCTCCACATGGAGACTAACAGCCATCAGTAACTCCAATTCTAAGGGATCTGACATACTCTTCTGGCCTCTTTGGGAATTACACACACATGATGCACTTATACACGTGCAGACAAAGCACTCATGCAATAAAATAAATATAAATACAAATTAAAATGAACTGTCAAACCCCAAAACAAAACGCTAAGAAATAGAAGCAATATTTAATATTATGCAAGAGAATCTTGACATTTTATTTGAGCATCTAATAGAAGATACCTTTAAACACATTCTGCTCTGAAATGTGACCTTTGCTGCAAGTTGAAAATAGTTTTTATAGGTTTTTAATACAAGTAAATCAATAGTCAGAAATGAGAATATCACAATGTAGTACATTTGTGAGTATATATTTAAATATACAAAGGCTTTCTAATCAGTTTGTAAGCATGTGTTACATGGATTATTTTGTACTTCTTTTTTTGAGTCATATTTGAATGGTATTCCTACTCCTCAGCTATCTTGACTTGCCCAGAAAATAAGTTTTTTGTCTGTGGCCATAACTATTGGAGGGAGTATGGACTGAATGTTTAATTATTTTTACTATTCCTTAGATGCAGCAGTTTACAATGAATTAATACAGGAAAAAAATTTAACAAACCAGAAGAAATATGATAGTTAAGGTTTATGAGCAGACTATTCAAATTGTAGAGGTTTTACATATCTGAATTGTTATAAACTATTGCTTATAGAAAGAAACATTTCTATATGTAAAACATAACCTGCCACTTTTTTGACTCATTTGCCACCAACTTGTGATTGATGTGCATTCCTTTATTGTGACAAGTTTGCACAGACATATACAGAATCAACGCAGAAGATAAGGACTCTAGAGCAAAGAAATATGAAAAGGCTGTTAAGTTCATGAGGACCATTTTCTAGGAAGCAGAGATCATAATGTTAAACTTTCTTTTCTGAATATGCCCTGCTAAATACTGTTCTTTATTTCACCATGCTACTTTTTCTTTAGTTTGAGTGTGATTACTGTAGGTATTTCTTTGTCACAAAGATTTTTCTACCCTCACCTTGACTCCTACACTCTTCACAAAGGACAATACTTGATGCAGTATCCTCTAAAAGGATTTCAGAAAATACATATTATATCAAATACCTGAGTGTGTGTAGGTGGAATGTTTCTTCTGCCATAAATTCCCAGCAAAGAGTCCTTGGCTAAAGAAATATTGAATTTCAGATATACAGGGTGGTGGATAGTAATCTGGAAACGCCAGAATAAACCAGGTGGAATGGTCTGCATGACCTGCGCACCAATGTCGACTTCTCCAGTGTCAATTGCTCGTCCCTTCTGAAACACTAGTTTTAAAGACAGAGAAAATGACACATCATGTTAACATTAATTTCTAAAGCAATAGTTTTTAGCTTTTAAGAACAGATATGTCAAAACAACTTAGTCTTTTCTTCCTCTCCTCACCACCTATCTTTCAAGGTCTTGCACACATTAAAGGTCTTCTTATGAGCCATCTCTGACCAACAAATACGACATTTTTTTCCCTTAAAATCTTATTGCATTAATTTTATTAACTCAATTCTTTTAAAATATTATATACTGGGTGTTTTCTTCTTAGGTTCCAAGAGTTACAAAGTTGAACTAGGTGTAGTCGCTGTTCTCAAGGAGTTTTAAAAACTACAGTGCAAATGGGACAGTACACAAATAACTGTATTGTAAATGGAAATAATTGCTTTAGGTATTCAAAAGAAAGGATAAGTTTTTGGTTCAATTGATAGTCTCATGTCTCTTCATCTCTTTATTGTCCCTTATTATACCTTGGTACTAATCATAATCTAATACATCACATATTTTTTCAATGTATATTTTAGTGAATTTTTGTACATTTCATATAATACATCTTAATCATATTTAGGTCTCCTCCCATATCTGTACCCCACCATAGTCTGCCAATATGATTTCATGCATTCTGTCATATATGTTAATGCCTATCGACTCAAGTTTGTGTCCCCTGATGTCCCTCAGTGTGAGTTTATCCATTGTAGCCTGTTCAGCCTAATATATTGCTTACTGTCTATTTTTCCACAACAAAAGTAAATACTATGAGGACAAGGAATTTCCTTCCATTGCCTATTGCTCTATCATTGGTATCTAGGAAACACATGTGAATGTAGGAAAGTAACGTATTTGATCAATACATACTTATTTAATGAGTGGATGGATGAATGAATCAAAAAGGTTATTATGGGGGAGAGCCCTGAACATGAGTCTTTGAAAAGGGAGAATATTTCAACATAGTCCTTGGGAAGGGGTGTTAGAAGATGGAAAAGGAAGCCTGCATTAAAACATAGAGAAAGGAATTTGTGAAGTATGAAATATATGTATATACAGAGGAATCACTGTAATAGGGCTGGAAGTAAAGAATTAAATAATCTCCTATAGTGTCTTTACTACCAGTCAAAAGGTCTCATTTAGAAAAGCTAATTAGGAAGCCATTAAAAACTTTTAAATATAATTTTCATTAATTCCTTGAGAACTTACACATGCATACATTTTACTGTGATAATATTCACTCTTCCACTCCTTCCTCTAACTCCTCCAGCATCTCCCTTCTACCCCGCCCTCCCAACTTTATGCCTTCCACTATTTTTCTTTTTAGAAAAGTCCAACTTGTGCTGCTCACATATACATGGGCGCGGGACTATCCAATGAAGGACCGTTCTCCTAAAAAAAACTTATTCTCCCTTCCCTATCAGTCATCAACTATCAATAGATCCTTAGCTACGGGAACTTGTAAGTCCCTCCTCTCTCCATACTGGAGTGTTGATTGATGTGATCTTGTGCAGGCAACCACATCTTCTGTGAGGTCATGAGTACATTAGTCCTATCATCTCCAGAAGACACTGTTTTACTCTGCTCCTCTCTAACCTTTGTTTCTTAAAAACCTTTTCATACACTCTTATGTGCTGTTCCCAGAGCCTTGGGGGTAATGGGTATGAAATACATGTACCATTTATACCTGAGCACTCCAGAGACATTTATTCTCTGCATTTTGACCAGTTTTAAGTTTCTGAGTTAACTCCTATACACTGCACAAGAAGCTTGTCTGATAAGGGATGAGAGCTGTACTAAAATATAGGTGTGGAGGTATATATTTAGTTGGAAGTTTTATACTATTTCCATTTAGGAGAATAACAGCAACAGGTTTACATTTGGAGCCTGTGAGCTCCTCAGCTATAGGTTCTCGGTCAGATTAACAGTAGCAGGCGTGTGTTCTTTTTTTGTAGAGTGGGCCTTAAATCCGTTCAGAAAGCAGTTTCTTTCCCTCATAACATTTATGCCATTATTGTACCCATAGGCACATCTTGCCAAGCCAGTCATTATTGTAGTTCACAGTGTTGACATCTGCATAAGACTGTTGGTGACTTTTTCTCCCCCAGTAGTCCACAGAGCATCCTCTCAAATTTAGAAATTGAGGAGGAGGCTTCTAGGTCAGTTAGTATCACCTTGATTTCTCCATGTCCTGTGACCAATGTTTCCATTGTGACCGTGAAGGTTTCACAGGCAATGAAGAGCAATAGCAATAGCCTCTCTTGTTTGGTGTGTGTGTGTGTTGGGGGGGGGTGCTCTGGGACTCCCATAACCAACAACTCTAGGGGAAGAATTTACACCTGGCACTGGACTTTTATCTGCTAACCTATGACTTCTGGGATGAGAACAATTCCCTTTAGGGTAACTTCAATTAAACTCTTATATCT